AGGGTGTAATTTTCGTAATTTAGTAAGGTGAATTAGGGATATTTCATTTTCGAAATTTCCAAATTTCTATGAACATTATTGTTTTCCAATTCCAGTGTCCAGCTGTTGAATGTCTAGCTATTTTATTGGGTTCTCAGCCACGCGTTGATATTTTAACGTGGACTTGAATATTATTCTTTTCGAATTCCAGTGTTTAGATTTGTGTTTGGATTTTTCGTTCATCTATACAGTGTCACCCTTAAAGTCCGCACCATTGGGAATTTTTATTAATTAGATTACACAAATTTATAGTTTACGAATAGTTTTCGCTTTGAAAATAATGAAAAAATTACTTTGGTGATTTTTGTCGATCAGCTATACCTGTCAAATTTTAAATATTTTTAAAATTTCGAATGAACTAATAATTGGCAGAAATGCCATTTTAAACTCTGTTAAAAATAAATAAAGTGAATTTTGCTATGAAATGTTGAAACTAGAATCAAATTTATTATAATTTTTTCAGCACACATGTATTTTTTTAATAATATCCCATTAAAAACATTTTTAAAGAAAAACAAATTCGGCTATTAGTGCAACTGGTTTTCTCGAATTTTGAAAATTCGAATTTGCCAACGAAAGTATTAGGTTAAAAAAACGCAAAAAGAATCAAACATCCCGTTGTGATTTTTAATAGTTAATGTAATAATATTTAGGGCTAGAAGACAAAAAAAATAATAATATTTAGGTACTATCATGCGAGCCATTTTCGAGTAGATCAGTTCTGCTCTAATCCCTTATATCCCTCCATACCTAATTTGGCCCTATTACGGCCTCATTTTTTCCTGTAACCAAGAATATTAGATAAAATATGTTAACCTTTGTATGTCGAATCCGTTGGGAAATATTAGCGAACCTTTTACGATCAACAATTTTGGTGGAGGTGCGGGTACCCTAAATATCGCTTATTAGTAAAACGACGTCTAGAATTTTTGAGAACAAATCTGGTGCGCCACGTTTGTGTTTAAATACACTAAATTTCGACATTTTAGTTAAGTTCAAGTTAGGATATCGTTCTGTTCAAATAAATACGTTTAATGTAAAAAATTTATAAAAAAAAATATAAAGTAGTACAAATAAATTGAGTTATAAAATAAATGTGTTAGTGGAAATAAACAAAAAAACAAACAAAATATTTAAATAAGGTACTTTGATACTATAGTATAATACTTTAGTACTTTAGTATAGTACTTTAGTACTTTAATACTTTAATAATTTACTTTAGTACTTTAGTACTTTAGTACTTTAGTACTTTAGTACTTTAGTACTTTAGTACTTTAGTACTTTAGTACTTTAGTACTTTAGTACTTTAGTACTTTAGTACTTTAGTACTTTAGTACTTTAGTACTTTAGTACTTTAGTACTTTAGTACTTTAGTACTTTAGTACTTTAGTACTTTAGTACTTTAGTACTTTAGTACTTTAGTACTTTAGTACTTTAGTACTTTAGTACTTTAGTACTTTAGTACTTTAGTACTTTAGTACTTTAGTACTTTAGTACTTTAGTACTTTAGTACTTTAGTACTTTAGTACTTTAGTACTTTAGTACTTTAGTACTTTAGTACTTTAGTACTTTAGTACTTTAGTACTTTAGTACTTTAGTACTTTAGTACTTTAGTACTTTAGTACTTTAGTACTTTAGTACTTTAGTACTTTAGTACTTTAGTACTTTAGTACTTTAGTACTTTAGTACTTTAGTACTTTAGTACTTTAGTACTTTAGTACTTTAGTACTTTAGTACTTTAGTACTTTAGTACTTTAGTACTTTAGTACTTTAGTACTTTAGTACTTTAGTACTTTAGTACTTTAGTACTTTATTACTTTAGTACTTTAGTACTTTAGTACTTTAGTACTTTAGTACTTTAGTACTTTAGTACTTTAGTACTTTAGTACTTTAGTACTTTAATACTTTAGTACTTTAGTACTTTAGTACTTTAGTACTTTAGTACTTTAGTACTTTAGTACTTTAGTACTTTAGTACTTTAGTACTTTAGTACTTTAGTACTTTAGTACTTTAGTACTTTAGTACTTTAGTACTTTGGTACTTTAGTACTTTGGTACTTTAGTACTTTAGTACTTTAGTACTTTGGTACTTTAGTACTTTAGTACTTTAGTACTTTAGTACTTTAGTACTTTAGTACTTTAGTACTTTAGTACTTTAGTACTTTAGTACTTTGGTACTTTAGTACTTTAGTACTTTAGTACTTTAGTACTTTAGTACTTTAGTACTTTGGTACTTTAGTACTTTAGTACTTTAGTACTTTAGTACTTTAGTACTTTAGTACTTTAGTACTTTAGTACTTTAGTACTTTAGTACTTTAGTACTTTAGTACTTTGGTACTTTAGTACTTTAGTACTTTAGTACTTTAGTACTTTAGTACTTTAGTACTTTAGTACTTTAGTACTTTAGTACTTTAGTATTTTAGTACTTTAGTACTTTAGTACTTTAGTACTTTAGTACTTTAGTACTTTAGTACTTTAGTACTTTAGTACTTTAGTACTTTAGTACTTTAGTACTTTAGTACTTTAGTACTTTAGTACTTTAGTACTTTAGTACTTTAGTACTTTAGTACTTTAGTACTTTAGTACTTTAGTACTTTAGTACTTTAGTACTTTAGTACTTTAGTACTTTAGTACTTTAGTACTTTAGTACTTTAGTACTTTAGTACTTTAGTACTTTAGTACTTTAGTACTTTAGTACTTTAGTACTTTAGTACTTTAGTACTTTAGTACTTTAGTACTTTAGTACTGTAGTACTTTAGTACTTTAGTACTTTAGTACTGTAGTAGTACTGAACTGAAACTGAAAACCTGTCTGTACACTCGGTTCACAAACGTGCGCACTGGTTTATTTTTTGAGTTTAACTTATTCCAACCAAAACTTCAAAAACTAACCCGAATATCAAAACGTGCGCACCAGTTTTGCCTAATGAACTGGAGGGGGTAGAATGCCAATGTACATGTTGTACTATTAGAACTAGGTGCGACTCTATGGGCGCAGCCATTTTCATTGTTCATCTCACTCGGGACTATTTATAATAACCATTTTCTGTTTCACATTGTTATTGTTCAAGCCACAAGCTGGTGGATCAGACAATAACAATATGAAATAGAAAATGGTAATTCTAAATACTCCCGAGTGAGATGAAAAATAACCTATCTTCGCCCATAGAGTCGCACATCAAGTCTATTGACAAGCATTCTACCCCACTCCAGTTCATTGGTTTTACCAGTCGAAAATGCTATAAAAGAGGACATGGAAAGTTCAACCAACTTGATTAAATAAAATTGATACTAATGACATAAGAAATCGGGTCACATTAAGAGGCTGTTTTTTTGTTTAATTTTTGGTTTTTCTTATCTACTTTTATGCCAAAAAATACTCTTTATTATAGGGTATTGTACATTTAACGGTTGAAGACATTTGTCAATATCAGCTGTCGATAATGTCAAAACATATTCTTAGCATTGCGCTTTATTTTTTTATTCTCCCGGTTTCTTTAAACATTTTTTTTGTTTGTTTTTATCTATTTATGTCAAATGCAAAATGTTGCTGCTACAAATATAAATTCCATACAATATACAACCTTATATGACACTAGTTACCTTATGCACATCTATGGTTAGCTTGTGTTCTACCAAAAACATAATTGACAGCTAACACATTTTTTCAACCTTTAAATATAAAATACCCTAAACTAAAAAGTATTTTGTACCTTACGGGTACAACATGGTATGTATGTAGAACAGAAGTAAAAGTTGGAAATGCTTTTGCCAGTTCTTCCACTTTATACACATAAATTGACAGGTTGGCAGCGGATCTGACCGAAGTGGACGCGATACATTGGCGTACAAAATTATTTTATAGATGTTAATAACAATTTTGAGTAAATAGTTTAATAAATTGTGAATAGCTGTTGAAATTTTGTAAAATTATGATTTGAATATTATAATACATGTTTAATAATTATTTATAATCCATAAATACATGCGATTGTCCGGTTCCGCCGATAACAATTTAAAATTACTTATTCTATGAAACGACACTGGCAGGTAAACATTACTGCGAAATTCTCGGAGCCGCCCGACGTGGTTTGACGTTTACCCCCTCTCTACCTACCAAAAGACTTTTCAACTTTTACTTTCTCTATAAATGACATGACAGTAGATAATAAAAACCAAAATGAAAACTAAAAAACAGTCCCTTTATGTGACCCGGTTTCTTATGTCATTAGTGTCAATTTTATTTCATTAACTTGGTTGCACTTCCCTTTTATAAAAGTCCTCTATTAAAGACTTCTCCGGTCTTCGGCATACCGGAACGTCCCATATACGCTACAACGACGGGTGGTCGACTTGCCCAGGACACCTAGACAGGTAGACCTCTCAGGTAGACCGCCGCGTGTATATCCGCCATTATAGTGGGAAAATCGCAAAAAAAGTAAAAATTATCCCGGAAAAAAACTAAAGATATATAAATGTTTACGCACGAATTGTATATTATCAGTTTTTTCATCCATACCTAAATATGGCCGTTTATTTAGAAGTGAGTTAAAAATCCATGTTTTTATATAATTAAAACTTTACCAATGCGGTATGTTATTCACTTTTTTTACGCTAAATTTAATCACGCAATAAATAGAAAAACGTAATATTCGAATTTTACGGTAGAAGGTGGAAGAGCTTTTTAATTAGTGAATTAATATGAACATAGGATTTTATTGACACAAACATTACTATTTAAAACATTTTCAAAATCAAATTCATTTATTCTATTAATTAATTAATTGCAGTGGCGTGAGGGTTTTGATAAATTGAAATTGTTTTCGAGGAAAAATTAAAAAATACATAGCCGAATAAAAAACTGTAAGCAATTCCTGTTTTGAATTATATAATTTTTGTAAATCTTCAAATGCTCTTAATGAATAGTATGTAGAGATGTTAAAAATAAATGTTATATACTTACTTGGTTGCTATATATAACAAAACAAAAATGAACCATGCTTAGAAGACATTGAAGAATCAAAAATAGAGAGAAATATCCATGATTTACTTTTTTCGTATAAATTTTGAAGAGATCATGCAGCCTATACGCTTCAAATTGGTTCTAGAAAAAAAATATATAGTAGATAATACCAAGTCCGGAACAGTATCCGTATCCCACGTGACTAAATTGACGCCTCAGTTGGCTAAAAGTAACATTAATACCTACAGTAGTAACCCTAAAACAATGTCACTGACCTATTGATAGAGTTTTTATAAAAGTCGCTAAAATAGTACATTAAAATACAAGTTTAACCGTTTTTTTTTATTTTTTGTGGTCGTTGTTGGGGAATTTTTTGCAAAATATGTCAGTTGGTAACATTTAGTTACTACTCAACTGTCAGGTGGAATTAACTGGACATTCCTATGAAGACTAGAGAGAAGTAGGCGAATCGGCAATGGTCAAATTTCAAATTTCCGTCCTTGTTTTTATAAAATTCGCAAAATTGACTGTAATTGGAATGTCGAATGACAGCGATGTCAATTTTCTATATAAGTCAATGTAAAATAAAGTGATTTTTTTTAAAATTGGTGAAAAGAATCAAAATAATGTGAAAAAAAGTACCTGAGTACAAGTAACATGAGTGACAAAAAACATCAAAGCAAGATTTACGTCATTCTAGATTGTAAAACAGGATAAAAATCAAATGTAAAACTAAGAAAAACACAGTAATAAATTAATTTATTTTTTTTTTGAAGCTTCCAATGTAAGTAAAATAATGTATTCATGTTTAAATATAATATTTATTGTAAACTAGTCACAATATATATCTTACGAAGTGTAGTTTATTTTATTACAAAATTCTATAATATAAAATTTTACAGTCATAGTTACTGACTTACAAATATGCATTAAATTTAACTTACTAGAAAAGAAAATTTATTTTTTATAGAGTTTTATTGTTAGACAAAGAGTTGCTACTGTTATTTTTTTGGACCCCAATTGTGTCATTGTAAATGTTTTTTATATGATACTAAACGTTTAGAACAGTGGCAGCATATAAATCGTTCCTAGTGCCGATAAAGCACTTTCTAGAGATGATGCTGTTCTAAACTTTTTAGAAAATATTATCAAATATTATGAGACTATTTTTACTGATGGTACTGTTAGCAAAAAAAAAGGGAAAGCTGAAATTAAAGGATGAGGTAATACCATGTACATTCCCAAATTTCCCTTTATATTTGTATTACAACAATAAAAAATCTATTGACTGTTTTTATTTTACTCTTAAAACTATATATTTGTTTAATTAAAAAAAAATTATGCCACAAAATTGTACTTATCAAATTTCAGCATTTAAGAAACCTTTTCGAATTTAATCATACATACCTAATTTGTATTTTATATAGATAAAATTAAATAATTTATCAATTAAAACATGCAAGACTTATATAGAAATAAATACAACAGTATGTTCTGTGCTTCATTTAGCTATAAGCAAGTATATTTTTATTATTTTGACAAAATTATATATAATTCCCATAAGAAGCCATGTATTTTGAACACCGTATGCAGTACCAGCGCCCATGCGGTTAATTGTAGAATTTCAATTAGCATGCGTTCTTTGGGACCGTATTTTGAGTATGCCGATTCGCCTCCTTATCTCTAGTCTTCATAGGCATTCCAAACAAATAAAGGTTTGGTATGTCCAAACGGTTGTGACATATGGTGTAGCCTATCTACAATACGTGAAATCATAAGTAATGGATTAAATTTAAAAAACCGCTTTTGCAGTTTCTATAAATTGGCAAGCTTGGTGACTACTATTTCAGATAAAAATAACGTCCAAGACGGAAGGCTATGTCGCAACCCCCTTAGATTTACGAGCCCTTCCCACTAGCAGCTATTGTTTGACAGGTCGGTGGAATGCCTGAAAGTAACTGAAAGTAGTGAATGTCAACTTAATGTCACAAAAAAGTTATCAAAAATCGTTTAAGAATGAGCTTCTTCATTCTTCAACGATTTTTCGTGCGAGAATATGACATTCTTACACCAAAATCGAGAAACTGGAATTTTTATTAAATTTCTTATTGTACCAGACTACGTGGGATACAGGTATTGGGCCGATTAAATAAAAAGAAGGTTTGGCTTTTACTTCCTCCTATTTAAGTATTTACTTAATATAAATTTAATAAGTTTACTTATATACTTATATAGCAGAAGCACTTTTATATTTCCAGTACTAACCTATTTTTATTTGAATAAGAAGGAGAATTTTCTTAAAACAATAAGCAATAATATGATTTCAGGTATATTAAAGGTGGCCATTTGATAACGAAACAGAGCCAATTTTGGACACCCCAGGTCATTTACAAAAAAACGCTTGGACCCGACAATTTTTGATTTTAGGAGGAAACCGTTTCCAGGTCAATGGATCGAAAGAAGGGGAAGTATTAAATGGCCCCAGAGTCTCCGGATTTAACCCTGTTAGATTTTTTAATGGGGACACTTAGAAACGAAAATTTATGCCTCTCAGGCAACATCACTGTAAAATCTGCGACAACGGGTAATTGATGAATGTCATCAAATCACCCCACAGATGCTTCAAAATGTCCGAGAGCGTTTTGAACAAAACCTCTATTACTGCATGGAGGCCCAGGGTCATTTCCAGCATTTACTCGAGTGACTAGTAAACATTTAAAGAAAATAAAAATCGATAAAAGGTCATGGCAGTAGCGATGTAAAACTCGGGGGCTCTAATCAAGATAAAAATATCTTTAAAATAAAATATTATTCGACCCCTCTTTCTATTTAAGATTTTAGGGGCGAGTCTCACCTCCGCTATGGTGTCTGTTTAGGGTGTGAAACTGGCAAAAAATTGTTTCCCCCTAAAAATTGACAGGTCCGAGCGTTTTTTCCTCAGATAAACAAATGAATAATAGATAAGTAACGGTCTGGATGTGTTTGAAGCTAATATGAACCGTTTTATCTATTACTTTCTCTTTCTTCTTGGTCTTTGATGTGATTCGTCTATTTTAAATAGCAGCGCCATTTACTCACAACTGTCAACAAGCATTTGGGAACTGTCAGTTTTGTTTGCACATTTTGTGTGATTTTATATTCCCAGTGCATTTTTTTAAAGTTTTTAGAGTGTCTAAAATGTTTATTTAACGAATTTTGTTAGTTGTAAGTCTAAAAATTATTATTTAATGTTTGTTTGCCCTGAAACAAATTTAGAGAAGTTCCACGTCGTTTTAAAGGTAAGTAAATAAAACACATGGGCGGTACACCTATATTGTAAAATATTATTAGTATTTTTTTAGACAGACTTCCTACAAACTGAAGCAATGGAAATTTGTATTCAAATCCTAGAATTAGAGAAGGTTGAAGTTGATAAAATTAACATAAATTGGAAATATAAAATATATTGGAAACATTTTATATTTTGTTATGAATTCTGCTGGAAAAGACGAATTTAAAGCTGGAAACAATTCCTATTTTATTCACTTCTCAACTTGGTCCGTCTTCAAGTAAGTTATACAAGTAAGTTATAATAATATTATGTAATACAATACCTAATACAAATTATTCATACATTATAAACTTGGGAGATTAAATTTAAAATATAAATGCTATATTGTATTCTCCTAGACAAAGTAAAATAAATCTTAGTGCTTTCTGGAAAGAAAACATTTTATGAAAATATAAACTACTCCAAAGAGTTTCTTGTATCTTAGTAATGAAATGAATTATACTTATAGAATGATTATGTTGTAAATATTTTATAATTATTTTTAGGGAAAATTTACTTCCTAGTGAATGTAGTGAAAGACAGAGTCTAGAAGTGATTTATAATATGCACATACTGGATCAGAAAATTTAAGTTGTTCCACCGACATTGCTCCAGAAGCTATAGAATAGGTTATTCAATTTATAAAGAAGACATCTATAAAAATGCCCAAATTCAGAGACAAAAGGTTATGCTAAAAATAATACGTTTAAAAATGCCCGTTTTTAAAAAAATATTTGTCACATATCATTTTGGAGATTATTAAAATATCTAAAATTCCAAAAACTTTAAAAAACATGTTAAAAGTTTATAAATGAGAAGTGTGTAATCTAGAACAAGTCAAAGGGGGTTATTTTCTAACTTTCAGATGAAAAAACGAAAGCGCCAAGCAGACTTCTCAACAAAGTTCGATCACCAAAACGACAAGCATGTGATTATGGTATTCTCTAATGCTAGACGATTTTGATATTCGTATGTGATTTTAATTTTTGTTGTAATCTGTCATAATAATTATAAATCGTAAATGCTGATTTGTCTAAATATCTAAAGTATTTGAATGTCATTTTGACATTATTACAATTATAAACTCAATTAGAATATATTAAGGCCAATTTCAGAATTGTAAGGAATCAAAAACAATAAACATCATACATTTGCTGACATTTTAATATTCAAGTCATAATATTTAGATATATATTTTAGTGTTTGACTTATCTACTTCTGAAAATAAACTTTTTTGAATGCGCTTTACTTTTTTCAAATAGGAACAGCACAACAAGTAGAGAATACCAAAACGTTTGTGCTTTACACTTTTGCTAGTTGTTGCGTTTATGGAGGGAGCTGAGTGCTTTCAAAAATGGTTTTAACTCAGCGAAGTAGAAGAAGGTTTCAATCTAGAATATCTGTCAATATTCGCTTCTAACATTTATTTAAGAGACCAAAAATTACATGAGTGAAAATGCATCAGAAGCAGTTGAGGTACCTATGTATCTAGTATTAAAATAAAAATAATTCAATTTGGTGACATACATTTAAATATAATATGTAGCCCATGCACAACTTTCCTATGGGATTTCCATTATATTTCTTTGAAAATAGACACTCCACTAACCAATTTTATCCTTTTTTTTATTTATAATTACCACTTTTGATACTTTTATATTGTATTTTTTTTATTAATTTTATTTTGAATTTTTATAATTTAATTCATGTATTGTTTTTTAATTTGCGTTAATTGTATGTTAATACATTTTTGGATGAAGCTTAATTGAGTCTTATATATAAAACATTTTTATCACACACAAGTTGTACATAGACAAAATTTAATTTATGT